AATATTCATCATTACAACACGCAGTAAAAAATGAAAAAAAAAGTATAAAGAAAATGAAAATATATAAACAAACAACCCAAGATTGCAAGTATGAAAACTGTCTCTTATACACATCTAGATGTGTATAATAGACAGCAATAGTAGAGCTTCACGATTCAAGTAATAAAGAGTTTCTAAACAATAGAGGGCACTATATCAAGAGCACATTAAAAAGCAATTCATAAGGGTGTACAGTCAAATACTGTGTAAGACTGACAACTGTTGTTAACAGGAACATGATAGTGCATTAATTACACTGCCGATAACATCTCGTATCATTTGAGTAATTTTGATCGGGAGAAACACGTCTCCACCAGATTAATTGGCACAAAGATCACGCTTGTATTGTTAATTTTTGTGTACTTTATTGTTTATTGTTGAGGCACCATACTGATCTGTAAATGATCATTTCGTTCATAAAAATCTGTTCTAGTTGTGACACTGCCTATTCCTAGACTCGATAATGTGTCTATGTTCTAAACATTTTCGACAATTCATCATTCCAGTAAATATTTTCTATGCACTAAATATTCTAAAAATAACTTTCAAATGTATAAATATTGTCTTTGAAAGTATTTCTAATGGAATCTGTAAATTCATGGTTTGCAATATTATCAACACTAATAAAATATCATAAATAAATATAATAAATTTTTGATATATTTCCAATTAGAATTTCCTACATTAGAATTAGAACATCAACATCCAACAACAAACCAATGAATCTCATCAACATCCAGCCGGTGTTCCCTGCAAAATAGTCCTTGTTCCTCCATGCATTTCACACAGATCAATATTACATTCAACATTGAAACAGCTTCCAGGTGGTACCAACTCATATTAATCCACTATGTAGACTGATAAATTAATTTATTATTAAATACTTACTGACAAACCTATAGATCGCGTAACTGGAAGAAATGCTAAGTTTGCGAATGGTTTATCGGCTCCCCACGTTTCAAGGTAGCGTGCCATCTTCTTGGAAGCTCTTGTGCGGTTCATTTCCTTCTCATCATTCTCGGCATGAAGCATTTCTTCCTCCGAGGACTAGGAAACAGAATTAATCATCATTAAGACAATAAATGTATATACCTATACATATATCTGACGTTAATGGGTGCAGAATTAATGAAAACACAGGCGTTATCACAAATGATGAATAGTTCTGAAAAATCGATTAATAAAGTACTATATAACTGATCCTAAAAAAAAACATATATATATAATGGGTATGCCCAACAATTTGGCATTTATTTTAGTAAACTATTGGTAATTATTATTGTCTCGCTGGATAGTGTAGCTTGAATCATAATCTAATAACCTTTTCTGAAATGAATTTATTTGTTGATTTGTGTTATTTAAAATTGACTTCTAGTCCCAAACGTACCTAACCTGTCTCTTGTGTGAGTCTGTATTATTAGAAAACAACTTTTAGCCTCAATGAAAAATTTAAATGTCAACATAACACCAATGTAAAAATCAATAGAAATATTCATCATTACAACACGCAGTAAAAAATGAAAAAAAAAGTATAAAGAAAATGAAAATATATAAACAAACAACCCAAGATTGCAAGTATGAAAACTGTCTCTTATACACATCTAGATGTGTATAATAGACAGCAATAGTAGAGCTTCACGATTCAAGTAATAAAGAGTTTCTAAACAATAGAGGGCACTATATCAAGAGCACATTAAAAAGCAATTCATAAGGGTGTACAGTCAAATACTGTGTAAGACTGACAACTGTTGTTAACAGGAACATGATAGTGCATTAATTACACTGCCGATAACATCTCGTATCATTTGAGTAATTTTGATCGGGAGAAACACGTCTCCACCAGATTAATTGGCACAAAGATCACGCTTGTATTGTTAATTTTTGTGTACTTTATTGTTTATTGTTGAGGCACCATACTGATCTGTAAATGATCATTTCGTTCATAAAAATCTGTTCTAGTTGTGACACTGCCTATTCCTAGACTCGATAATGTGTCTATGTTCTAAACATTTTCGACAATTCATCATTCCAGTAAATATTTTCTATGCACTAAATATTCTAAAAATAACTTTCAAATGTATAAATATTGTCTTTGAAAGTATTTCTAATGGAATCTGTAAATTCATGGTTTGCAATATTATCAACACTAATAAAATATCATAAATAAATATAATAAATTTTTGATATATTTCCAATTAGAATTTCCTACATTAGAATTAGAACATCAACATCCAACAACAAACCAATGAATCTCATCAACATCCAGCCGGTGTTCCCTGCAAAATAGTCCTTGTTCCTCCATGCATTTCACACAGATCAATATTACATTCAACATTGAAACAGCTTCCAGGTGGTACCAACTCATATTAATCCACTATGTAGACTGATAAATTAATTTATTATTAAATACTTACTGACAAACCTATAGATCGCGTAACTGGAAGAAATGCTAAGTTTGCGAATGGTTTATCGGCTCCCCACGTTTCAAGGTAGCGTGCCATCTTCTTGGAAGCTCTTGTGCGGTTCATTTCCTTCTCATCATTCTCGGCATGAAGCATTTCTTCCTCCGAGGACTAGGAAACAGAATTAATCATCATTAAGACAATAAATGTATATACCTATACATATATCTGACGTTAATGGGTGCAGAATTAATGAAAACACAGGCGTTATCACAAATGATGAATAGTTCTGAAAAATCGATTAATAAAGTACTATATAACTGATCCTAAAAAAAAACATATATATATAATGGGTATGCCCAACAATTTGGCATTTATTTTAGTAAACTATTGGTAATTATTATTGTCTCGCTGGATAGTGTAGCTTGAATCATAATCTAATAACCTTTTCTGAAATGAATTTATTTGTTGATTTGTGTTATTTAAAATTGACTTCTAGTCCCAAACGTACCTAACCTGTCTCTTGTGTGAGTCTGTATTATTAGAAAACAACTTTTAGCCTCAATGAAAAATTTAAATGTCAACATAACACCAATGTAAAAATCAATAGAAATATTCATCATTACAACACGCAGTAAAAAATGAAAAAAAAAGTATAAAGAAAATGAAAATATATAAACAAACAACCCAAGATTGCAAGTATGAAAACTGTCTCTTATACACATCTAGATGTGTATAATAGACAGCAATAGTAGAGCTTCACGATTCAAGTAATAAAGAGTTTCTAAACAATAGAGGGCACTATATCAAGAGCACATTAAAAAGCAATTCATAAGGGTGTACAGTCAAATACTGTGTAAGACTGACAACTGTTGTTAACAGGAACATGATAGTGCATTAATTACACTGCCGATAACATCTCGTATCATTTGAGTAATTTTGATCGGGAGAAACACGTCTCCACCAGATTAATTGGCACAAAGATCACGCTTGTATTGTTAATTTTTGTGTACTTTATTGTTTATTGTTGAGGCACCATACTGATCTGTAAATGATCATTTCGTTCATAAAAATCTGTTCTAGTTGTGACACTGCCTATTCCTAGACTCGATAATGTGTCTATGTTCTAAACATTTTCGACAATTCATCATTCCAGTAAATATTTTCTATGCACTAAATATTCTAAAAATAACTTTCAAATGTATAAATATTGTCTTTGAAAGTATTTCTAATGGAATCTGTAAATTCATGGTTTGCAATATTATCAACACTAATAAAATATCATAAATAAATATAATAAATTTTTGATATATTTCCAATTAGAATTTCCTACATTAGAATTAGAACATCAACATCCAACAACAAACCAATGAATCTCATCAACATCCAGCCGGTGTTCCCTGCAAAATAGTCCTTGTTCCTCCATGCATTTCACACAGATCAATATTACATTCAACATTGAAACAGCTTCCAGGTGGTACCAACTCATATTAATCCACTATGTAGACTGATAAATTAATTTATTATTAAATACTTACTGACAAACCTATAGATCGCGTAACTGGAAGAAATGCTAAGTTTGCGAATGGTTTATCGGCTCCCCACGTTTCAAGGTAGCGTGCCATCTTCTTGGAAGCTCTTGTGCGGTTCATTTCCTTCTCATCATTCTCGGCATGAAGCATTTCTTCCTCCGAGGACTAGGAAACAGAATTAATCATCATTAAGACAATAAATGTATATACCTATACATATATCTGACGTTAATGGGTGCAGAATTAATGAAAACACAGGCGTTATCACAAATGATGAATAGTTCTGAAAAATCGATTAATAAAGTACTATATAACTGATCCTAAAAAAAAACATATATATATAATGGGTATGCCCAACAATTTGGCATTTATTTTAGTAAACTATTGGTAATTATTATTGTCTCGCTGGATAGTGTAGCTTGAATCATAATCTGATAACCTTTTCTGAAATGAATTTATTTGTTGATTTGTGTTATTTAAAATTGACTTCTAGTCCCAAACGTACCTAACCTGTCTCTTGTGTGAGTCTGTATTATTAGAAAACAACTTTTAGCCTCAATGAAAAATTTAAATGTCAACATAACACCAATGTAAAAATCAATAGAAATATTCATCATTACAACACGCCTGTCTCTTATACACATCTAGATGTGTATAAGAGACAGCATTAGGGAACACATTAGACTTCAAAGGCATCGCGCAATCATTTTCATGCGGCTGTTTTGTTCTTGGCTCATTTGCAGAGCGCTATGCGCGGAGCTTTTTCGAGTGACATAAGATTTCATAGCCAGACCCCACTATGATGGGCCTGAGGTAGTCCCCTTCATATATGTAAAATACACACCCCCCCCCCAATTTAAAATTCTTGAATAGGCCACTTGTCATCCTACCATTTCTCTTCTTTTTCTACAACTTCTTTCTCTTCTCCTTTGCTACAATTCTTTTTGTCATAATAAACAATTAGCATCATAATTCAATTAATAAAAACCAATAATCATATAATAATATGTAAAATATTTCCAATTACCTTGGAGCATACACCTGTGGAAGAGCTTTGGTTGCTAGTGTTACTACTCGCACTTTCTCCTTCAATTGATTGGTTACTACTCGAACTCCCTCTGTCACCTGATTGGTTACTACCTGTACTCCCTCCTTGTACTGATTGGTTAAAATCTACAAGTATTGATGATGCCAGGTCATCCAATGCCAGGTCATCCAATCCAGATGAGAAGACACTGAATGGTGTTGTCATTCCATGCGCACACCTACCAAGAATACCATGATGTTGAAGTTCCGCACATTTTAAATCTTCCGATGTTGGTAACGGAGTTAAAATTTTCTGTAGTACCTGGGGAAGCATGTCAGTAATAAAAACAATTTTACTTGAAAAAAACATTTCACATCGTGACATTACGGCTATATATTGGAACATCATGACTATATATGGGCACATCATGACCATTTATTTTAACTAATGTTAAAACAAATTTTTTAAATGAAAAAACAAAAAGTTTTAAGGCTGTGAAAGAAAATATAAGGATCAGCATAAATTCCAAGTAACAAAAGAATATCAAATACAAAAAAAGCAAAAACAAAGCTTACTTTTATTTATTTTCGTTTAATTATTTAAAAAAACATTTAGCATTATAATTGTTATGAAGCCATTTAATTTTGTTAAAAAGCCATTAGATAAAATGTTGACTAATTCTCAATTTCAAATGAATTCAGTACAGATACCTGTACAAAGCAAGTTTTAATAAAGGTGACGTGTGTCATAATTTGATTGATTGTTTTCATATCAGGAGATATTATCTCCCAGCCTAAATAGAAAAAGTTGTATAATGTATACCTCAGTGCTTATATAAGAATGAGCTGCATTATGATTGGCTGTTACATAAGTCCACAGACCTGACCTTGTAGAACCAGATTATAAGTACTGTTTCGTAACAACTATATTTACTATTGCAGTACTATTTACATATTTTCTCACCTGAGCCAGTGTTGTTCTAGCGCTGGTGGCATTGGGGTCAAGCGATAGTCCCTGAAGTAACGACATTAGAGCTTCTTCATACTTCCCTGCCATTATAAGTGCGCATCCCTTTCTGAAATATCCCTTCAATTTTAAAGAAAAAAAATGAATTTGCATAGGCAGATTCAAGGGGGAGGGGCCAGCCGGCCGGGCCCCCTACATTTTTCAAGATTAAAAAAAAATCAGAAATAAAGAAAATTATAGTCAAATTCTAAGTGTAAGAATGGCATTTCCGGCCATCTACAGGTGTAGGTATAATCAAAATTTTTCTTACCTCAGCACAAATATTGTTGGGGCTGAGGTAATATATTATCGACCTGCACCTGTGAACGTCCCTCTCTGGATCCCCTCTATTTCAAATTCCTATTTCCGCCACTGATTTTTGTCCTAATAATATTTCATTTCATTTATTTAATTGAAATAATTAAAAAAAATTTAATAACAAATTATTAATGAGTACCTTTGGCCAAAGGGGTTGAAGTTTGCACGCTCTGTTCGCCTCTTCAATGGCTTCCGAAAACTTTTTTTGCACACTTAGAACGTGAGACTTGTTGCTGGGAATCAAATGATCAACTGGTGCTACAAACAGAATGCGATATTAATTTAATCTATTTATTTATTAATATTAAGAATCAATAAAACCATGCAAGTCAACAAGACTTGGGTATATTAAAGACAATTCTATGTAAATAAACCAGTTTCATTAATGGTAACCGATTTATTTACAAAGAATTGTATTTTGCTACAGTATCAAAAACCAAATTAAATTATTTGATCAACATGATGTACATTACTATTGATTCTCCAAATATGGTAGGATGTTCTGATTGGTTGAGACAAAAAGAAAGGATCAAAACGAGGCAGGAAATGAAAACTACAAGAAAATATTTTGAAAGCATGATCGATCAAATGAACTTTTTAAAATAACAATTTTATAACAATGAAACTGTATGTAACAAGGAGTTAATAGCCACACAAATTTGTACGAACATGGTTCTCCTTACTGTGTACATACAGTAAGATCAAGAGTAGGTTAAGGATAATTAAACTCTAACCCATTCTGTTTGTGCAATTCTTTTCCTGAAGCAGTCAGTTCATATTTTACAAGCTAATTGGGATGGGAGCTGTGCACTCTTACTCATTGGCGTATCTAGAAGGTGGTGCACGCCACTCCAAAAACGACTTGCGCCCCTCCAGTCACCACCCAAAAAAATCACAGTCAAGTAGTTAAAAATCACCTAAAATCAATTTATTTTGAGAGCACCCCCCTCAACTGACTATCAAACCATTCCACTTCAACTTCGCGCTCCGATCAGCACCCCCACTAAAAAAATAGTAGTTTCTCGTCCTAATATTTTGAAGAAAAGGAGAATGAGGGCATTTTTTTGTTTTACTCCGAGATGGCAAATCCAAGATGGCCGATGGGAAACTACTACTTTCTCACTTTTACCAAGTAAACACATTGAAAACAAATAAAAGAAGCACTAGACATGATTCATACCGTATGTATCCCCAACCACAAAATGATCAAGAGAGGAGTGATTAGTAAAAAATTATGGAAATTTAAAAAAATTTAATTGGTGAGGCAGAGTAAATGGAAGCGCAAGAAATTAAGAAAGAAATTACAGTAGTTTTTTTTTTTTTATTTGGCCTAACATGAACACTGTATGAATTTTATCTTTTTCTGTCCACAAATGTCTGTTGTTCTTAACAACTGTAGAACAGAGGAGATATAATGTATTCTCTTTAAAACTAAATACAGACACATTGTCAAAAAATAAATAAGATAGTTTTACTTTCTTTTCACACATTTAATACCGTAGTTTTAGTGACTTACAATTTCAAGATGGTGTTGACAATAGCTTTTATACACCAGCCTTGAACAAATTCCTAATTCTGATTGGATGAATATATGAAGCAGAAAAGGATAATAACATCCAATCAGAATTTATGAATTTGTTTTACTAGTGTGTAACAATTCTACAGCCATAGAAATTCTTAAGAGACTTAAACACGGACTATTTTAAGTAATTATAATCAGGTTTTTAAGCATTATTTTATTTTATTTTTATTTTATTTTATTAATTTTAGGCAACACAAATAACAAAGACACAAAACAACTTTGAATGCGCCATGGAGTGGCAAAAGAGGTCAGAGAACTTCTGTCGCCAAGAGGCGTGCCACTCCAACACTCAAAGCCATGAATACTCAAAAAACCATGAATACTCAAAAAATGCATACTATATATTATAGGCCTTGCTCGTCACAATTATCTTGTTGCTTCTGCAAACCACGGGACAACACATGTCAATGAATAAACAACGTAAATGGATGTGCTTAGCACATTTACTTACCTAAAGCTGATGCATCCGAGTATAATTTTATTGCCCCATCGAAGTCGCCTTCATTAAACTTTACATTTGCTTCGTTTTTCAATTTGGCAGCTTTGTAAGCAGATGAAAAATATTTCTCTAACTGTCCACTTAATAAAACATCAACATTTACTGGAAATCCTCTTTCTGGGTCACTGAATTCACTGCACATTTTACATGTCCTTGCTTTGTGTTTTATAAAACAAGATTTGCAGAACGTATGGCCGCAAGACAATGTTGTAGGTTCAAACAAAATACTATAGCAAAATAAACAGGAAAACATGTCCAACTGTTTATTCATACAATCTTGAACAGATAAACCTTCTTTATTACACAATTTGCCTACTAAAGAATCGACAAGACTGATTAATTTCTCAGGCTTAACTTCCCCAAGACGACAAGCATAAGCGTAAGCATCGAAGGCCTCCGACAACCTACCAGCCTTCGCTAGACAGTCTCCCTTGCCGACTAGCACTTCTGTCGTAGGTTCAGAATCCTTCAAAAGCCTGTCGTAGATTTCGGTCGCTAAATCAAAATTCCTGTTTTCTACAGCTTCATGGGCAAGTTGTAGCATATCAGTCATGATAAAAGCATAATGAGGTGCGAGTTTAAGCCACCACCAGTGTAAAATTCTGTATAGCAGGCCCTTTACTTTATTCCAATAACACAACAACACATCCATTCAGGCACACTAGCCTAGGCCTAACCAACTAAGTACTATCGTAATATTTTGACTTATGTAACTTCGCGGTGGCGGCAGATTTGTTTGTATTCAGTGTGGGGAGGTGTGTCAAACAATCCTGGAATCCCATTGGCGGAAATTTCAATTGCTCCAACATATCTGACACCGACCATCATCCCTTTTAATTCTAAATCACGTGACATGGAACGCCTTACGTAACTTACAGGTTTTGTTTACACATAAATTTTAATAAAATGGTTGTCAAACCTTTATTATAATTGTACCCTATCTATGTTATATACGAATACTTATATTACATACACCGGACCTTTTGTAAAACCTCTACTCTGTCTCTATGCCGCACACAACATTTATTTGGGAAGTTCTCAGAACTGGGCCCTCATACAGATTCGCAGCAATCGCAAAATTTACATTTCGGACTGACTGGTCTCATGTGATCTTTATCAAAACAAAATAGTGTGTATTATATGGTGCCGAAGCTACAAAAAACATATTTTTACAGACCATATTAGTCGATCAGGGTCCAATCAGCTGGAGCAGGCCCTCAAATCTCCACTAGGGGCTAGACTAGGAAAAATATGATTTTATTTGTATTTCATTCACATCAAACGGCGCGGATCTAAACAGTTGCGTAGCTACGGGCAGTGCAGCAAATGAAATGCACTGGGCCCAGGGCTATTTGCGGCCCATTCATAAATATACCTAAATATAATAATTTAAAAATAATTTCCAACTTAATATTTTTTAAGAATAAAACGGCCAGCGGTCGTCCCCTCAATAATATTTGATTTTTAGAGAGGCCTAATTATTGATTACTGTGGTGATTTTAAATCAGTGGTGAGTATTCAAGGGAGCCCTCCCCTAGCTACCTATTTTTTTTTTAAATTACTAAATAAATGGAAAAGGGGAATATATTAAGATTTTAGTCTGAGGTAGCCATTTCCGGCCATCTAGAGGTGCTATAATAATAAATGTTCTTGCCTCAGCCCCACCCAACCATGGTGGGCCTCCTTGGCACTTTATTTCGAGTTCCTTTTAGGCCTACCCGCAACTGCAATTGCTTAATTTTACGTGCCACCATTTTTTTTAAATATTTTAGAACAGCTGCTGCGGAGACCGAATGCCCCTCTTAAAATAGTTACGAATCCGATTATCATTTATATTTATTAGCCTAGGCCTTCAAGAGTGGGGGTAAAAGAAGCACTTCTTGTGATGAATTTTTTGAGAACTTGAAATTCCCCATCCATATAAAAAACGGCCCAAATTAATCTTGCAATGGGGCCCTTTCGATCCAAGCTACACCACTGTGTCTCAATGATGGTTATTAAACTGTATCTATAAGGGGATTTGAGGGACTGGACCCCTTTATTTCGATTACTGGCTCCACCATATTGCTGGAATTACTAAGGCAGACAGGCATCTAACCCACAAGCTACGTCCGCTTTATTTAATACAGTATGGAAAATGCTTCCTCGGGTACAGTATTTCCCAATTCGTGTTTGAGCTGCGCATGCCCGTATCCATGGTCAATGGACATACACCTTATAATGTTTGTCATGAGCTAATTCCTCCATGGTTGTGTCATGGATATATCAATAAGAATAAGGCCATGGTTAAATCGGTTTGATATTGATATGGACATATATTAGTAATAGTAGTATATAATAATAATAATAATAATAATAATAATAATAATAATAATAGGCCTAATTTATTTTGATACTACACTTTCGAAACAGTGCCACATTGTAAAAGTTGCGTCCAAAATTATGTTAGAAAAAGCAAAGGTGCTGTCTCTTATACACATCTAGATGTGTATAAGAGACAGATATATACCTTTGAATTTGGCATAATATTATAACGAATTTAAATAGAAATCCAAGCTGTAAATTACGAGGAAGAAAAGCAAGAAAATAGAGGAATATTTTATCAATTTATTATTCAATATTTAGGCGATAATGCATATCTGAAGCTCTCGACAAGAGGTTTTATAATGAATGACTCAGTAAATGCCTGTTCGTTATGTAAGTCTTCGCTCACTCATTCAATTTATCAATACAATTGGGGATTCGTGTTGTTGGATGCATAATAGAGGGATTTCGCAAACTTACGAAAAAGAATACGTTTACGTTATCAAATTCGATCATATTCAGCTCGCCGTACAACATGTTTTAGGCACGAATGGCGGAATAATGATAATGACGTTTTCGTTGTTTTCGTAAGGTTGTGAAGTCTAAACCGCCTATGTGCACAACACAAAATTTTTTGTGTTAGCAGTTACTGTTTGCTGAATCATATCCCTAATGTTAATATGAGATGAATTTTAACCAAATTTGGGCATTTTTTTAAAGACATTCAAAAAAAGGAAAATTTTAACATAACAATATTGTCTTTTGTAGTTTTTTTTAAAGGAAATAAAAATATATTTCTTGACAAATTATTTGAATTGAATTATTAATTCCTGATGAGACAATTTGATATTTAACCACTTGTACAATACTTGATTAAGATGATAATCTACAGTTGATCAAAAAATTGAAATTTGCGGCATCTGAAACGATTTCTTCTCGTTCTATTATTATCCAACAATGCGAATCATCCTAAGATGCATAAAAGGTATATATAATAATATCAGTATCTACAATATTAGCTCGTAATTGGCAGCAGTGATCCCTTACCCAAGCTCATTAGTACACGTTTTATTACCTTCTTTTATAATACTTCATTGTATTATTTTATTATTATTATTTCAATGCGGAAACGAATATAAAAGAATGATGATACGTTGATGACCGCGCGTGGATATCGACCGATGCTTGCTCTTTGTAAGCCCACTACATACACAAAATCTGACGCGTGCGCGTAAGTAGAGAAAACTTCTGCAACCCAAAAAAAAAAAAAAGAAAAGAAAAGTAGAATGCACCAACACTAAAGTGTTGAATTAGTGGAGCGGATAATTGGGGAGTATATGAGTACTGTTCTAATTAGGACCTATATTCGTGTTTATGTAACTAGGCCTACGAAGATTTTATGCTAATATAATTTTGTCATCATTGGATATTGGTAGTGAATATAGGCGGCACGCCCGTTGCGATGCTTAGACATTGACAGTAATTTAGTCATTTTTAGTAGATGTTAATAATACAGCCTGACGAATTACCTTCGTGAGTTGGCAATCAATATTTTACAGAGTGGAAACGCAAATTGCTTTTCACAACTACATCAATGTGGATAACCGATGGAAGCATTTGTCCGCTGGGTAGTGGTGTTCTAGTTCGTGATGCAAAGTATGTTACATAAACCAGTTGAATTTTGTGCTGAAGATACGGTACTAAGGTAAGATACTGTAGTAATGGGTTTACATTTTAACTTAAAACAAAAGTCATTGTAGGCCTACCAGACATGCTATTTTTAGTGCAGCAATATAGGCTTACACCACTGATTAATAAATTATATATGCACTTGCCACTGGTAATTCCTCTTATATAATAGGCCTAAATAAACATATTGCAACAGTCGTACGCTTATACTTCTTTATGTTGATGAATACAAAACGATGACGCATGCGTGTTTTTTCGTTAAAATTGTCTAACTTATGTTTCATTTTATCCCCTAGTCGCTACGAAAACAAAAAAACAAAAAAAACAGTTACAACAAAGATCTTGGGAAATCTATAACAGTCGAGTAAAAACAAAAGAAAAAAAATAAAATAAAAAATAAACTAAACACGCATGCATAGAATTAATTTTTGTTATTTCCTTCACATCGCAGCAGCAAGTACACTCTTAAGCCAGGCACTCACTGCGTCGTAGATGGTGGTACGACCGTCGCACGACGAATGCGCTTCCATGTGAGAACTAGTCTGCGCCTTCTGCTGATTGTCGGTGTGGCCGTTTGAACGGATCGTTATTTATAGCCTGGTTCTCACGAGAGCCCTATTATCCGGATCGGGAGCTAACCATTAGCGCTAACCGTTAGCACCTGCGTGAGAACGCCTGATCGGTTAGCGCTAACCGTTAGCAGTATCCGGATACGGCTAACGGTTAGCAAGCGCTATCGGTTAGCAAGTTGAGCACGTTTTATCATCAACCAATCACACGTACGCGTTTACAATTTGCAGTTTCTTATTGACCAGTGATTCGATCATCATAATTTTTGTATCTGGGTGACCTTATTTAAAACTAGTAGAACTCCATTCATGCATGCCCCGGTACATGCATTACTGGACTGCAACTACATTTGTAAAAAAACAATATAAGTAATACAACATTCATAATCTCACATTAGACTTAGTCATTATTACAGTGTTTCGTCCTATATAATATGAGTACCATTTTTACTTATTGTTTGTATAGCGTTTTTCCTGGCAGCGCTGCTACCACTCCACAATAAATGTCAACCCCCCACCTCCCACCAGCAGAATTTGCATACAAACCACACCCAAACAAATCGTGAAACTTATTAATGCAATTAAGTAGAAACTCCACGAAAAAAAGAGTTTGATGGAAAAATAAACCAAACAAAACAATAAACAAAATAAGATGAAAAAGCAAAGATGTGTTCAGAATTTTTAATTAGTCAGAATATTGTACGCTGGTACCAAATCGTTTACAGAATTAGAGGGTCTCCAATCGATTATGTATCGAAATGATGTCAGTTTGTTATTTAGTAAGATAAATTAAATTTAACGTAAATATGAAAGAAGCATAGGAAGAAAGAAAAGTAGGAAAGACACTCGGAGCAGATCAATTGTATACAAAAATGTTATAAAATAACAATAGCTCATTATTACATTTTACGAGTTTGTAGTAAAATTTTGACACTATTCATTAGGTCAAGTTGTCAAACCTACACGTTTCGTAATTCAACATCGAATCCTGACCTACTGTAAAACAAAATAGGCATCCATGCATCATCTTAAATGGAAATAATTGGATGATAATTTTAGGTACAAGTCTCCTGGCCTCCAATATGAAGACCACTGGGACCGGGATTTCCGTGGTACTGTACTCAGCAGCAAACTCAGCAGCAAAGTGGTCTTAATTAGAGGTGGTTTTTAATTGGAGGAAATCTTTAATTAATAATAATAAAATAATGTTATATTTATATAGCGCATATTGCACATTGCCCTTATGCGTTTTACAAAGAAATAATATAGGCCAACTGAGAAAATGCAAATAACAATAAAATAATAATAAAATAAAAATAATAATCATAACAACAACAACAATGAATTAAAAGCAGACATGTAGTTTGTTCTCCAGAGATTTTGAATGTTCTGTGTTAAGTAAATAAACAGATCTATGAAATACCAGGGAACAGTTAAATGTGCCCTGGAAATACCTTTTCACGCACAGCAAAGATCTTATAAAAACACTTTTTGACGCACAGCAATAAAATCCAAGTATTGTTTGCGCATTTTGTTTATAGTTTTATTATCAACTGCAAGCTTTTGATATTTAAATTTATCGTTTGCAAAGCTTCCTAATTTATTAATTGTATTATTTGCTGTGTTATTTAAATGTTATTGTTTGTATTTTTATTTTATTTTTTTTGGTTGAGTTAATAATATTGTAGGCCTACCTGTCCATCAAAAGATTATTTCAGGAAGGACAATAATATTCTAAATTTATATTGAAATAGCTGCAGATGTCATCCTAGATACAAGCCATAAATATGTATAATGACTGTGATAAAAGCTATACAACGACGTTATTGCACAGTAATTGTGTTGTCCGAATTGCATAGTACCAAAAACTTCTCAAATATATTCTTTAACCCCCAAGTAACAGAACATGTAAAAATTCCAATACAGAAACTATCAAAATATAAAACATACAGAATGATTAATATCAATAATTTAATAAAATAGACAGAAATATGGACAGAATGGAACATTCCGGTACAGAATGGACCATTCCGCTATAGTCCCGCCCCTTTTATATATTGCTGAGGTCCAACAAAATGACAACGTAAATCATACCGCAACCAAAATGGTATAAAAAGTTTTATTTAACCATTTAATTTTGCTGCTATATAAAGATTTTGTTGCAACATCTTTTAATGTAAGTACTCCATTTCTTACTAGCTTTTATAAAACAGAATTTTTGTCATCTATCTTCTAATGCATTCTAAAACATTTGCTCAGAGAGAGCAGCAGACATAAGCAAGTATGTGTGGAACAACACGTGTTTGTTGGACACGCACGTATTACTTCAAAATGTTCTGATTGGTCAATTATATTTTGATTGACACTCCGGAAACATCCATTAAGCGAAACACCAACACATTTGTCATAAGTCAGCTTTATTCAATAATGAACAACTAAGATACAATGCAATACATTATTGAATAGATTATTTTAATGTATTTCAAAGTACCTCAAAAATTGGAGTAGGTATAGACACTACATATAAAAAGCATCACATAACATCAACATACCAACAAACACAAACAAAAAAGGTATTGCATTGTATTGTAACTTTGATTAACAACACTTTATAGATGTTCTGTCTGCCAAATAATCTAGTGGTGCTAAAAAAAAATGATCTCAACAGATTAAAATAAAAAGTTTTTGATGATCTGCATACATTGATGGGGATTTTTATTGCATGACACATCTACAAATCAATTTATTGATTTATTAAAATTGTAAAAAGTTCACAATGAATTAACTCCCCACAAAAAAATGCACCACTGTTAAAAACACCCCACACAGGCCTAATAGATAAATCTTAAATGTGTGCCACATGATTATATATAATTTTAATATGTAAAAACTAGAGTTATATAATATAATCTTATATACAACCAATATAGAGCAAGCAAAATTTTGGGATATCAAATATGATTTTTTTTCTGATACAGACCTTTTACAACTACACAATAGACATATGATATTTAATTTTATATTAATTAAAAGAGTGTTTATGAGTGTTAATCATGTATATTAATAATCCAAGTATTCTTTTCTATTAAGTCCTGCTGATTGCATGTGTGTTTATGAGGCATGTACATGGTCCTGGCCCTCATTGCTAAGTTCAAAAGCCCTGTCCACACTATCAAATTTTATTTGACAAAAACATGTGACATGCCTAAATATGGTCATGATGACATCAAACCATGACCGTATATAGGCATAGCATGACTATATATGGGCATACAACTGCTTCTGTCAAAGAAAATTTGAGTGTGGATAGTGCTTTAAAAGCCCACTCCAGACTATCAAATTTTATTCAAAAAAAAAGCATGTGACATGCCTAAATATGGTCATGATGACATCACATCATGACCATATATGGGCAAAGAACATTTGATAATCCGGACAGGGTATGTATAAAACTCCAGAATGGAGCAATTCATAATATTATCTTTTTTGCATGTTTAAAATCAACTTCTTTTTATTTATGAATTTAAAAAATAATTTACATTTATATAGCATATAGATTATCTAACAGATTTTTTTATTTTGAATTTCTAAACCAGTTGGAATTAAACATCCTGATATCTGTATGTTTTAATTGGCTCTGATACAAATTTGATTAACTGTTGGAATGTCATGCCTACCAGATTAGTAAAATATGATTAGTTATATTTTTGGAGAAACATCCTGGTGTCTTTAGTCTTCTCTGATTGGTGGAGTTAGTCTTGAATCTTTAGAATACTTCTTTTTTCCATCTCTTCCATTTCTTTGAGAAGGTATGACACATTGTACCTTAATTCATGGAACTTAGAAACAGGAACCTAACAGCACACAAAAAGACAAATAAAAATAATTAATTATGGTAATCTATTTGGTATTTCTGTATGTTGTTACTCAACTACTGAACAGCCGATGACATATCTTTTTAAGGGCTTTTTTCCAGGATGAGCTTCTTTTTGAGATTATTTTGCTAAGTGGCAGGGGCGGTTTGCTATAAGCGGTCTTTAGACGTTCTTAACAGTTAGCTGGCTATAATCGTGACCATTGTTATACCGCAGTCTAACCAGTTAGCCGTCTTAAATTTTAAAGCCTGTTTGGAGGAGGCTTAAAACGGTCTTAAATAATTTTTATCATGGCGTTCTGCTGATTAATTCAACAGTGCAATGGCAAGACCTAGGCCTAGATCGTCAATGTCGGAGAACTGAACGACGAATGTAGGTCTACGTTTATTTACGTTCATTTCGATACAATGCGTGTGTCGAGCACACGCATGACGTCGCTCCCAATTTTACGTTACTAGGGAGTGCTTGTTTGCGTTTCAATACATGGGGAAAAAATGAAGAAATTTTAAGTCTGAGAGTGCCATTTCTGACCATCTAGAAGACTAGAAGAGCTATAATCTTAAATTTTACTAGCTCAACCCTAACCATCGTGGCACTCAGGTATTCTTCACCCTTTAACTGTGAAAATCCCTCCCTGGGCCCACTATTTCAAATTTCTCAAAATTTTAGGGAATTCCACTATCACATCAAAGGGCCCTGCAATTAATCTTGCACCAAGGCACTTTTGGACCTAGCTTAGCCGCTGTATATAATAATAAGCCTATAACAATGATGATAATAACAATAACAACAACAACAACAATAATGATGATAACAACAACAATAACAATAATTATAATAATACAATTTTAATTATCTTATAATTCATAATTACTATTTCACATTTTTGTCAATATCAATATAATATGGCTATACACAACACATAGCTAATGCATTTAACATACAGTGTTTGGTTAGTATTGGAACTGCATAGTACACATACAAACTGCTGTCCTCTAGCCTCAGGCATCCTGCTACTTAAATGAAGGGGTCATGACCTGTTGTGTTACATAAACTTTGACTTATGTAAGCATATAATTTATCTACATATCAGTTCACTTGAAATCGTGGTTTCATTTTTTACACTTCACACTTGACAAAACACAAGTGAACAATGAGTAATAAATAATGATAGACATGATATATCATAGCAAGTATGTGATGGTGACAAGTGTATAAAGTCTGTGCTTAAAATATAAGTACTTCTTACTTCAAATTCCTTGACAGAACCATCACTTAGACTCATCTCCATCAGTATAGTTGGCTCAAGTACTCGGTTCAAATTACTACAAGAATAATTAAAGAGCAAGAAAATGAATAATTACACAATGACAACACTGCTCTGTTTGCCCATAGTACTCGGTTCAAATTACTGTACTAAAAAACAAATATAAAAATGAAACATTGCTTAAAGTGGGCACCGTTTAGTACAAGATTGAGCAGAAATATTCATCATATAAAATAATTTTATCAATAACTATTTATTATATTTCAATAGTAATTAATATTGATTTAATAATAAAGTTTAATTAATATAGTGCTTAATGCAAGGATGTTCGATTTTCAAAACTGCATACAAAAAAATATTCATGAAATCATTGATAATATTATCATTACTTTTAAATAATAATTAATATTGATTCAATTGATTTTAGAAAGGTCTTTCACAAAGCAAAAACTATAGCAGTAGCTTGGGACAAAATGTGCAAGCTACAACTATGCAAAAAAAACTGTAAAGCTTTGTCCAGTATATAAAATTTTCTTTGACAAAAAACTGTTATATGCCCATATTTAGTCATGATGTGCTTATATATGGTCATGATGTGATGTCATCATGCCTATATTTAGTCATGGTGTGCCTATATATGGTCATGATGTGATGTCATCATGCCTATATTTAGTCATGATGTGCCTATATATGGTCATGATGTGATGTCACCATTCCCTTTAGTCACGATGTGCCTATATATGGTCATGATGTGATGTCATCATGGTTGTGATGTACCTCGCCTGCTGGATATTGTGATTGGTTGGTATCTAGCCTGCTGGATATTGTGGTTGTGATTGGTTGGTACCTAGCCTGCTGGATATTGTGGTTGTGATTGGTTGGTACCTAGCCTGCTGGATATTGTGCTGTGATTGGTTGGTACCTAGCCTACTAGATATTGTGCTGTGATTAGTTGGTACCTAGCCTACAGGATATTGTGCTGTGATTGGTTGGTACCAAGCCTCCTGGATATTGTGGTTGTGATTGGTTGGTACCTAGCCTCCTGAATATTGTGCTGTGATTGGTTGGTACATAGCCTACAGGATATTGTGCTGTGATTGGTTGGTACCTAGCCTGCTGGATATTGTGGTTGTGATTGGTTGGTATCTAGCCTGTTGGATATTGAGCTGTGATTGGTTGGTACGTAGCCTACTGGATATTGTTATGTTGTTCTCTACTTTAATCTGTGGGTCCTATTACTCCACCACCTCTTGCATCAGCCACTGGACAGGGTCTCACCCAATGTTGTCATCATGTAACATACAGTAGGCCTACATGAGAGATGCACAAGTGACTTGTACAAGTGACTGTGATTGGTTGATACTTAACCTGCTGGATATTGTTACATCTGTTCTCCACTTTAATTTGTTCAGGTTGGGAAGATGACTCCCATTTTTCACCAATGCCTCATCCAATGACGTCCGTCTAAAGTCAACAAAAAATATTAGTTTTACACATTTTTTCCATTGTAATACTGAATATGTCCCAATAATATACACTACATTTATAATTTAATAGCCTTTAACAATAATTTTACAAAAAAAGATTATCTCAGCTATTGAAAATAAGTGTTATTGATGACAAATTTATACTAACATAAATACCATCACTCAGGTACAGATCCAGTAGAGGAACATGGGGCACGTCCCCCGTTTTGCAACTAAGTTTTACACTTACCAATTCTGAAACTGTTGTTACACCACCCCCCCACACCAATTTGAAAAATTCTGGATCCGCCCACTGACTTAATGTTTTTGTCCTACCAAGGAAAATAATTTTCATGAGACTTATATTTTAAACTCATGACGAATAAAGTGACCTATGTCTATGACACTTTATTAAAATTACTTTATTGACGCCTTGAGCAGTTTTCTGGATATGTGCATTATATAATTCCTATGAAATAAATAAACAAATTGATTGCTTTATTGGGAGTAGAGCTGTAACTAAATGGTTATGATCACTTCCTTTTAATCTAAGAGTTGTAGGTTCAAACCAAGCCTAATGGATGTCTGGGGAAAATCTTTCTGAAAAAAAGAACCACTTACTTGGAACCATACACTGCACTGGCTAGGTCTGTAATGTACTCCTGTGGAAGCCTACAAGACAGATTAAAGCTGTCGTTTTTAATTTTATATACATTAATATCAAGAACATAAATGTATTCAATTTAAGGACTTTTTAAAAAACAAAATAGATCATGGTTATACTGTATATTTACTTATTTTTGTTAAATGAATCTGATAAGAATTAATACCTACAATAAATACAGTACCTGTACTATAAAACACTACAGTATACAGTTTAGTGAATTGCTTCATGACCATATAGGCATATCATGAGTATGGGCATACAAAATGTTTTTTGTCAACAAAAATTTGATAGCAAGTCTGCACAGAGTGTTAGTGGATGTAATTTAATGAGCATCACAACAACCAATTACTTAAGTTTCCTTACTTTAACTCTGTCAAGTCTTCTTTGAAAACCTAAGGAAAAAAAAAACACAAGTAAAAAATATAAAGTTTTACACCAAAAAATCATACTGTGTATCTAAACCTCTATCCACACTGTCAAATTTTATGCCTATATATTGTCATGATGTGCCCATATATGGTTATGGTGTGATGTCATCATGACCATATTCCGACATTTCACATGTTTTTGTCAAATAAAATTTAATAGTCTGGACAGGTCTTAAAATAAGACCTGTCCATCATTACATTTGCAACTGCCATCATTACAATTAAATCTCTTCTCAATAGCCATTTATTTAACTGACTTATGTTATGGTTTATAGAATGGCCCCGAAACTGCTAAATACTGGGATGTGTCCGGCGGTGGATAGTTTAACTAATTTTAGTTAAGAGTAATATACTGTATTTAAGAGTAGTTAAGCCTAGCTTAAGGTATTTCGGGACGTCCTGGGTACGACATTAAACTCCATCTGGTCGAAGCGTCGGCGACTAAACTGATAACCCTCTCAAATATGTCTTAGTGGCTGCTGAGGGGAGGTGTTTATGGTCACCCAGCAGCAAGAAAAACCAATAGCTGAACAAAGGGGGGATGAGCTCCTCGGAGTCAACGACCAACCATTAATTAGTTTAAGGAATAGGAGTAGTTTAGTCTCATTGTTATTATGATTATTTTTATTTTATTTTTAATTGTTATTATTTTATTGTTATTTGCTTTTTCTCAGTTGGCCTATATTATTTCTCTGTAAAGCGCATAGGGGCAATGTGCAATATGCGCTATATAAATACAACATTATTATTAACATTATTATTAAAATATATTAGGCCTAAAATAAAAGTAGTTGTTTTTACTTTGCTTAGATTAAAGCATTGTCCTAATCGGTGGTAAACTTTACTACTGGTATAGGGTATTTTATCAGCTATTATTAACAGACTTTGATCTTCCATATTATATCAGCTTTATTGATTCTAGTTCAAGTTGATTTCACATTATGGATTTACATTATGGATTCATTATGATGAAGGGGTAGGGGTGAATGGCCAATGTTGGCCTATACAAGATAAGCCAAATTTCAGTCTGTTGTACAGCAAGTCTGATACTAACAAGTACAGGGTACATTCTTTAACTGCAGATTCTGTGGGTATCCCCCAAGGTTCACCTTCCTATGAATTATGGGTAAGTACTGTACTGTAATGAGTACCTGGTTCACTACTGGGGAGGAAAAAGGCAGCGTGGATAGGAACTAACCACACTACCACACAATGCCTAGGCTTAGTACAATGGGCTAACAGCTCATTCCCCTACATTTAGTAATGAATACGGGACTAGCATTACCTTTACTATAAGGGACAATGTTGCTTCTCAGGACTAATTTTTTGTTGCGTAGCAAGATGGGGAGTGAATGAATGGATTGTGACGCGCTAGACGGTAATGTCTGGAAACATGTGACTTGTTAGCTAAGCTTTATACCACGAATTATGTTAATATTTTTACTAATTTCATGAGGACAAAAGAATCCACCAAGCCTACTGCTGTAGGCCACTGCAACAATGAAAGTTTGACGCAAGTCACAGGACCATGTCACCCCCTTTAAAATAGTATTTTCATAATAATGGTAGAATTGCTCCCTCTCCTTTCGTCTCCATTGTGGTGTCAATAATCTGGATTCTATGTGTTTACATAGGCTGCAACCGGGAAGAGTCTTTTATTGCGGACACAATGGAAAACCCTATGTCTATTTGTATTCATAGAAATCGACTCCTGTTACAATACATAATGTTAAATACTGTTTTGGCTGGGCATTTTAATATCAAGTGTACGCTGTTATATTTGACCTAAAAGAATTGTGAATAATTTCTTGACGAGGCTTGAGTAATTAAGCAGCAGGATGTGGATTAATTAATCAGTTTACAGTCGTACAGTATCAATATGGCCACACTGCAACCTAGTGGCTGCTGAATGTAATTCACATGGTAGTCACTATACTGTACTTATTTCAAATTGCTTGGAGTGTCATTCTATGGTAAGTGCTTAGAACTAAAACTGTATATAAGCAACAACTAGGTACAGTATTAGATAGTGTTGATGACTTACTATAAAGTAGCTGGACTACAATTAAATGTTTTAACAGCAATTCTTTATTTGTGAAGTGATTGTAAATACTATAATTGGCTTTCGGAGCATGATGCATACAATGCTACTTTTTACACTTTTCAATTAAAATGTTTCAGTACTGTTATTATTTTTAACAAAATAAATTAAACTATAATATTAGTTTTATTCCATACACAGTCTTCCTCCAAATAAAGACCACGTTTGTGACCATGGTTTTACATGGTCTTTAGCAGCTTGGTCTCTAATATACAGTAGTTCATAATAATTGTTCATTTGGGAAAAGTAGGGAGATCAATAGGTTTCACATTAACTAGAATCACTTTTTATTGGAGAACTTTTGATTGCACACGATGGTAGGACTTACAGTAGAATGTAATGATGTTACCAAAATTCATCTGCGCATGAGAGAATGTGAGTTGTTTTTTTTTTGAGTGGAATCTAGGATGCAATTTGGCCAAACCTACGTATGCAGAGAAAGTAGGATGCCCGGTAGGATGGTCACACATAGGTAAATCCGTTCTAGTGTCATGATGTGACTATATATGTTGATGGTGTGATGTCATCATGGCCATATCTAGGCATGTCACATGTTTTTGTTGTATATAACATGATAGTCTGGACAGGGGTTAAGAATTTTTATTGATTAAGCATACTGTAACCTCTATGATCTCTACATACAAATTTTAATATTAATTTACGATTGGTTATTTATTATTATTGATGACATGTTACTGATGTAAGGTTATCAGATTGTAATTTGTGTACATCGTTTTATTCCTGAAGAACAAATTTAAGTTTAAAATATTGCTATGAAATTTTTTTTATACTGAGCAAGTTTTACCGATTGATTTTAATTAAGTATTATCTAAATAACCAGAACTTTAATTTCTTGTTAATTTAACTAAAATTAGTACAGGTCTCCTTGCAATTAAAGACCACTTTTAAGACCGATGTTTCCATGGTCATTAGCAGCTTTGGTCTCTAATTAGAATAATAAAGATAAAAAACACTGTTAATTAATTAGAATAATAAAGATAAAAAACACAGTTAATTAATTATAATAATAAAGATAAAAAACACTGTTAATTAATTAGAATAATAAAGATAAAAAACACTGTTAATTAATTAGAATAATAAAGATAAAAAACACTGTTAATTTGGAACTTCAGAAAAATGGTCTTTAATTGGATGTGGTCTTATATTGGAGGGATCTTTAATTGCAACTTACCTCAGATTTTAAAGAAGTATGAGTAAGTCGGAGTGCGCACTTAAGAATTGTGTATATTCCTGCATAAATGGAGTGAATAATCTCCAATGGTATTTTTGTGGCAAGCGAGTCAAAGACATCTTCTTCTATCGATGCTCCTTCAAATGATGACACAGCAGCTGGAAACAGAAAACTTAATTCAGAGGTGGAATATTCATTCTCATGAAATGAAAATGAAACCAGACCAGACTAGTAGTAGGACTTAGATGTGCCAACAACAGGGATTACTAAGCATTTTAGGCCGAATAAATTAGGCTAGGCCTACACTGTCACTGATGAGGAGACCTCTATACAAACACCCTGGTTAGACCGAACTAGGACTACTACCTCAATCAATTATATTTTGTCGTCATTGTTCAGAAGAACATAGAAATTTGTTTAGCTCTGTTGGTAAAACACGAGCCAAAAGGTGGAATAAACGCATACAAAGAAACAAAATGCAAAAAGTATCATTTACAACCAATTTAGAGTCCTATTACTCTAGGGAAGAAGCTATTTTTGAATCTGGCCTTGCTGGCATTTAGTGAATCGAAAACGTTTACCACTGCGCATCAATTGGAACAGACTTGAGGCAGGATGAGTTTGGTCGTCCTTAATAGCCACTGCCCAGGCCCGTAGCCAGGATACTTCAAAACAGTGCAAAAAAATGCTCCCATTTTGTAATAAATTGCATTATTTGGGAAATGGGGGTTCGTTTTATTGGCTAAGGGGGTTCGCTGGCAAAAAGGGGGTTCGCTGAACCCCCCCACCCGACAACGGGCCTGCTGCCTTTTTAAGAAGCCGATTACAGAAAATGGACTCCAAGAGGCATTTACCTGTACCAGACCTGCATAAATTGGTGTTAGTATAGGCCTACAGTAGGGGCCTAGCCTACACTCTCTACACAAGTGTTTACACTTAGGCCTCTAGACTATGCCTGGTTTAATTACATAGTCACCGTATATTGGACCATTTACTTTAGCAAGATAGTTCAAAAATTACTTTGTCATCTAAAGAATTTTGTACTGATCTACACATTAGTAGTTTATTTTTACATCATTTAAAATTCAATGTCTGTTTTCAATTAAGGATCGATCCTCTTCCCGTTGATGTTCGTTTGGGCATAATACTGTATACAAATTTACTTGCTGAAGGTGTAAAGTTTTCTATATCAATGAAACTGGTTGCAATTTTAAAACACCCCTTAACAAACCATTTTTTTTAATGGAAAAAAAATTGCATATATACTTAAGTAGTAAGAGTGACGAGGGCTGCTTTAAGATAATATGCTAATACCCTTTATTAATGAAAATGCAAAGATATACTGTCAGTGGGAGCAGCCCTCCCTTAATATATTAGATAATTACAACAATATCATATGTAAATTTAATTCTTTCATTCTGATTCATTTCCTCATCTTTATTCATACCTTCTTCTCCTCATCCTGTATGGTTTAATTCCTTTAACTTGAATGCTCTGCCTCCCATTTGTTCTCATATATTTCTTCATCTTTGTGCTGTGTTTTTAGGCATAGGTCCATGGGCATGCCTAAGCTAGGCTAAGAAAATGCTATTCCTCGGCTGGGGAAGAAGCTCAATTTTGGCAGGCTAACCCAGTCTTGTACCCTAGCCTAGGCCTAACTCTTGGGTGAAAAGATTGGCGTACAATATATACTCACTCTTCAACAACTTCCTAAACGTTTCTTTATCACATTTCTTCAAATATTTTACCATTAACTTCACTTCTCTAGGAATTCTTGCACCAACAAACGACGTTCTGTCTGCAACATTTCCCCCTCCTTTCTTACCTTGCGAGGAGATAGACATTTTGTTTGATTTTGTGTCGTACAGTAGTATTTGTATTTTAATAAAATAGAGGGCGTTAACAACTACACAAACTATTTTTTAAATGAATGAAAGATGTAGCAGTCTGTATAAAAATGCCAGTGACTCAGCTATACTATATTATAGGCCTACAATTTATTTCTCAGCTTTCATTTGTAGTATGACTATACCGTAGTTTGAAGTTGCTTTTGACATTTGAACTGTATTTTTATTTTTTGATATCTTTGTAAACATTGCTTTGTTTATATTTCTTGTACTAATTTTCTTTGCACGCACTTTCATTGAGAAGTGTGCCACTGTGGAAACGTGTAGTTTGTAGGCCTATTAGTCGAGAGTTGAGTCAGTTAACCCAAGGTCTGGGGTCATGTCCCGACTTTTTATATATATATTTTTTATTATGCCTATTGCCAAATTCATTAGATTCTTCAGAATACCAATAAGAAGTTTACCAGTGTTTTGTGCAGCAGCGGAAGAGGGGAGGGGAGCGGTCATTTCCCTACCGTACTTTTTTCAATTGGTAATGTCTCCCCAAACCCATTTGTGACTGATCCCCAGTGCCAGTGCTATACAAACTGTTATTAATGTAGGCCTACAATAAAGATTTTCTTAAATATGCAACGAACATGGCTTCCCCAGAGACCCCTAGCAGGGGTCTTTGTCGGCCCCAGCCTAGATGCTCGCATACTGGATTAATTACCTTATAAAATTCCCCA